CAGGAGTGCCTTCACGAAATTGACGTGGTGAATCTGGAGGGGAGGGAACCATGTCACCTTGATTTTGATGGATTTGATTTTCATGGTTTCCCAATGTGTTATTACTGTTATTGTCGGTGTTGTTGTTTGACATGGTGATAACAATGGACAAGATATAGCTTAAAAGAAAAGATTATCAGATTCCCAATAACGGAACCAATTTGTTTAACCAAAAATCTGAGTCCTTGATCAAAGCTAAAAAGAAATTCGGGTTACTGATAATCAGGAGACGAAAATAAAATATTTTTGTGAATGATGGTAAAGCAGTAAATAGTTTTGTATTTCAATAAGATTCCAATAGTATTTCGTATCCTTACATATGGTGAGTTCTTCTCCTTTTATAGCTAATTCTAGGAGAAGATGTAATGTCTTTGTCTTAATGAGGCAATTATGAGCAATAAATGACATTAAAAGAAACGTTACACAATCATTTCTTTTTAAATTAAATATTCTAACGTATTTGATATTCAATGCTGTATTTAGACTCTTTTACGTCATCAGATTCGTATCTTCAACTTTTTCCGATCTTTGGTCTTTAAATGACTTGGATAGGTATGAGACTCGTACCTATTTTAGTAACGGTCCGCACCTATGTTGCTTTCTTTTTCCCTTATCTGTTGTCGCCCGTGCCTCTTGGCTATTTATTGTGTTTTGACCGTTTGACCAGTCCACGTATCATGCCACGTCACCTACAATGTAAATTCAGTTTTTTCCCAATACAATAAGTTGTTACGTATTTTCTCATTCTCTGAATTGAATAGTACTATATAGTTTACTCTTTTAGTATTTTCAATTGTTGTTAATGTATTACAATTGCTTTTTATGCTAATCAAAATGTGAATAATAAAATATATTAGTTTTATTCCCAAATAGTTAACGAGAAGGTGCTTTTTTTGTTCTTTGAAATAGTAATCGTTATTTTTAATTATTAAGAATCTTTTATCTAGAAAATTTGTCTTTTATTCAATGTAATGACATATCTGAATAATTTCTTAAAAATAAATTAATTTCTCGATCACTCTAAAATAATTAAATTGACCTTAAATTGAAGCACGGCTGTCTTTCTAGTTTCATTTGATATGATTGAGATGCTATTTAGGGTGTAATACAACTTTCTTCATTACAGTTATTTGTTAAACATTTTTAAAAATAGTTAATTATATATATTACTAAATGTATAGGAAGTACCCAACTAACTTTGATCATAGAGGAGAAGTGTAATCTTGCATAATGATACTTCTAGTGTTGCCTAATATATAATAATTTTTAAAAGATAAAATAATACACCAAATTAATTGTCTTAATTTTTAGTTTGGATTATTCTTAAATCATGTTTTAAAGAGGGAATCATTTTTATACAATTTGAACAAATTTCAATATTCTATAATAAAAGGGACTTGAAATTATATTTATTCTTAACTATTTTTTCTCTAATTTAATTTATTCCAATGAAAACTGCAATTTAATGAGAACTTGTACAAAATGATATCAACTGATAATAATATAAGAACATCTGAATAAAAATCTACATAAACTATCGCCTGTTTTTTTATTAAAAAATCTTCTTTACCTGAAATAGTCAATAAATAAAACAAATGAAATAATGTTATTTGAGGAGATAATAGAATTGTTATATATAAATGTATGTTTTCATAGTATATTTTTAATCAAATGAACGTTTGAATTATAAAATTACCAAAAGATATTTTTCTAGTCAAAAGTACTTATTGAAAAATTATTTTTTCAAACAGTGAAAGTGAAAAGTAGTCTGCTTTCAAACAAATTAGAGTCCTACTAGACAGGGCTTCTTATCGGGCGGATTGGGCGGTTATTTACTCTTAGCGGTTTGGCTTATTGGTTATCTGTTTTTAAATGTATTAATCCGCTAGTCACCCAATAAGATATCGGGCGGATTGATATCGGTTTAGTTCTTATTGGGCGGTTTATCGGCCTAATTCAATCAAAATAAAATAAAATTTAGTCTCAGTATGTTTGAATAGGTGGTCGGCGTACTAAGAGGGACAAAGCAAAAGAGACAACGTGATGGGTAAATCATCTGTCTAGAATCTTATTTATGTTTATGCCCATTGGCCTTAGTCCATGTGAAAAAATTCCAATTGGCCGTTGTTAAAACAAATGTTCGCCATGCTTAGAATTCTAGGATGCCTTAAAACCCAGGCAAAGTTAATGAAGCAGTAGTGTAACTGGTATTGTTATCTTATTTGAGACAGCAAATTTTGCCTTTTGTCACAGTTAGATAACTCCTTTTATTTGGTTTTCTTTTATTCTAATTCACTTTGATAGAGTACGGAGGAAGAATGGTTTTTGTTTTTATATATATATATATATATTCTTAACGGGTTAACGGATTATCCGTTAAGAAAATTGAATAATCCGCCCCAAACCGATAAACTGATAATAAAAAAATTTCAAGTCGTTAAACTTTTAACCCGATACCAATAAGCCATTAAGCTTCGATTTTGATTCGATTTTCGGTTTGGGTTTGATTTTGAACACCCCTAATACTAGATCAAGTAGTGCATTTAAAGAAGATACTGAAAGTTGAATGGGAATTGGGTCCACCTAAATAATTTAATACAGCTTAGGGCCACGCTACTTTTATTTTTTTCGTCATTATGAACCCATATTCAAGCTTTTGTGCTTGTTATACAAGCAAACATTGCAATAATATCTTTAAAAGGACCACGATGCTCTTGGTCGATCTACTCTTCTCTTTTTTATATAATAGAAAAATAGAAATATTAATCGTACAAGAATAATATGTAGAGATTTTGATGACATATGCCATACATGCAGATTAGGCCAAACATGTGTGTGTTTTTCAGTAATTCAACTTTCTCCTCTAAAAAGATGAAGGACATCATTTTAAATTTATTTGAAATAAGTACACTTGTTTTTTCAATAACAAATTTTCATACGATCCTCGATATTGTACTATACTAGCAGCAACACGGTTTCTTACTCGGATAACTTTATGTTGCATCTTTAAGAGATATATCAGTGGCAAAATACCTTAAACCACCTCTAAATTTGGCTCAGATTATTAGTATCATTCCCGAACTATGCTCGGTCTTAATTACCCCCCTCAACTTGCCCTTTTGAAAGATATTACCCCCTAGACGCTGATGTGGCAAAAAGTGTGGGTGCACTCACCTGCCACGTGGATTTTTTTGTATATGTGGCATTTTTTTGAAAAACAGAATATATTTTTACCGTTTTAAGAATATTACTTTTTTAGATAATTTTTTTCGAATACAATTTATAATAAAACTTGGATAGAACTACATTATTTAGGCTAAATATTTTTATTTGGGCAAAAATAATAAAGTTTTAGTTAATCCTTTTTTTAATTTGACCTGAAAATAAAGATTTATACAATTGAAATAAATAGTCAAGGCATCTAAAAAAATTTAAAAAATACATAGTTTGAAATTAATTATTTTGGCTATAATTTTTTGTATAGCACTAAATTACGGTGCTCTAATTTTTTTATTTTTTATTTACAAATTTTACCTAAAAAAGTAAAAATACACAGTTGAAATAAATAGACATTGCATCAAAAAAAAAAAAAAGAGTGTATTGATGCAATGACTATTTATTTTTTATAACTTTTAGATACCTTGACATTGTATAAATCTTGATTTTCATGTCAAATTAAAAAAAAATACTCCCTCCGTTCCAGTTTATGTGAACCTATTTCCTTTTTGATCCGTTCCAAAAAGAATGAACCCTTTCTAATTTTGAAAACAATTTAGTATAAACTTACAACTATACCCTTAATGAGAAGCTTTTATAACCACACAAATACTCTGAGCCCCTTTTTAACTAGTTTAGGACCACAAATTCCAAAGGTTTCATTTTTTCTTAAACTCTGTGCCCAGTCAAACAGGTTCACATAAATTGGAACGGAGGGAGTAATTAAAACTTTATTATTTTTGGCCAAATAAAAATATTTAGCCTAAATAATATAGTTCTATCCAATTTTTATTATAAATTGTATTCGAAAAAAATTATCTAAAAAAATTATATTCTTAAAACGGTAAAAATATATTTTATTTTTTAAAAGAATGCCACATATACAGAAAAATCCACGTGGCAGGCAAGTGCACCCACACTTTTTGTCACGTCAACGTTTAGGGGAGTAATGTCTCTCAAAAGGCCAAGTTGAGGGGGAAATTAAGACCGGACATAATTCAGAGAGGATACTAATAATCTGAGCCAAGTTTAAGAGTGATTTAAGGTATTTTGCCATATATCAATATTGAGAACATCCTACTAAACATGACGCGACAACTACAACGATAGAAAAGAACATCTAACTAACTTAATTAAGTTAATTATTTTTGCCGATTCAAATATTATTTAATCATTTCAAATTTAAATATTATGTTTTTAATCATTTCAAATTTAAATATTATGTTGACCAAAGACATACGTGCGTGCCTAGACATTAGTGTAATAGAAACATAGAAATATTTTACATATCAATATACAACAACGGCTTTATTCAATATTCAACAACAGGAACAAAGAAAAAAAGAGCAAAATCATTTGGACGATTCGCAGAGGCATTACACAACAATATACTCAGTAAAATTTTACAATTTTGACCTGGGAAGGGTGGGATGTACATAAATCTTATTTCTACCTTGTAAGAGATAGAGATGCTGTTTCCAACAAATTCTTGATAAGAATGGATCTCGGACTTAACTCAATCTCAAAAGCTAGCTTATGAGATGACGATTGCCTAATACCATATAAGGAAACCAAAATACTCATAACCCACCGATATGGGACACAACTCAACAACTCTCGACTCAAGAAAATCATTTTCAAAACCAGTGTGAAAAGATAAACTCAAATAAAAATAGTGGTGAAAAGAAAAGGCAAGAAAAAGCACTAACAGCAAAAATAATACAAATACCCAAATAATTAATTAATTACACAATAGCATGATTTTTCTCCTCCTGCAAGAGCAGAGATACATACTCGCCGGCAAACTTGTCTCTGATTTCCAAGGGCAATTTTTCACCATTCAAGCCCTTGCAATACATATACAAAACAACATTCCCCACAAGAAATTGACTCATCCCCAAATATCCCATCACTGAACACTGCGCAGTCTGCAATATTACCCCCGCACTCCTCCATTGTTGACCTTTCGCTGCACTTACTATGACTAAAAACATGGAACCGCCACCTATCAGTCCAACCATTACAAGCCCGAAGAAGATGACCCTCGACAAAACTAAACATCTCTTCCCTTTAACCAAATAGGAACTTCTCCTTAGTGTTTCGAAACCCCATTTGGATTCGACTACTGCTATCACATAAGCTAATGACCAGTTGACCTGCAGCCATAGCAGAGCTGGCACGAGCACAATCAATGCGGGGATAAGCAAAAACAACAAGTTATTTGAGTCGTATTTAAGTTCAAGGAACCCAAGAGATTGAAGGATTTGGACTATAAAACCCAAGGAAAGGGCGAAAATGAGAGCAATTGAAGTGTAAATGGTTTGCGAAACGATAAAGGTGGAGAGAAGGGGGGAGAAGGAATTTCTGATAGATTTAATAGACGAAATGAAGTTGATCGGCCTATCATAGGATGCATGAACGGCGCTGTACGTAATTGTGGCTACAGCACAGAGGAAAAGGAGGACAAGAAACAGAGTGTACGCTACTGGTACAATAATTTCGAAACTGGAATCGAAGAAGTTGGAAAGTTCAGGTTGAGTGATGAAATCATAATCGGGATGAAAGAGGGAAAGGTGGAAAGAAGGATAAACGACGAGAGAGAAAGAGATAGGTAAGAGGAAGAGAATTGAAAGGACATGGAAATGGCCGAAATTAGCTTTGAATAAGCTCCTTGTTGATATTAAGATCTCTTTCCATAGGCTACGATTTTCTGTAGAAGCAGACGACATTGAAGATGATGGATGTGAAATGAAAAATGAAAGAAACACTACGTGTTTTGAGATATTATACCTCTTTTGACTTATCTTGCCACATCTTTTTAGGTTCTTATATCACAAAATTCAGAATTGGAATACCGGTGGACAATTTTATTTTGTATTTGATACTAGTTCGTACAACTAATATAAGTTATAGGAGATACAAAATAAAATTTCTCACTACTAGCTATGACTTTATTATGAGATCAAGAAACATTCAACACGCTGCCCCAAAAGGAAAAATAAAAATAAAAAAAGGAATTTCCAACACTCGCGTAGAAATCTCGTGATATTAATAATTGATCTAGATCTTAAAACTGAAGTTTCAAGCTACTTTCTTTGGGATTTAATTTAACTTATCCACGCTGAGTTTGCTGCTTTATTATATTGTAATCGGTTTGTTTGGCACATTTATTATTTGAAGAACCAAACATCTTCTTATTTAATCACGTTTTTTAAAATATTTTAAATTATTATCTATTTTGACTTATAGAATTTTTTATGTGATTTCCAAATATACAGCTCCTCCTTTCTGGCTACTAAATTCAAATCCAATGAATATATCAAAAGAGTTGTTTCAAAGTGGGTCGATTATTTCTCTAGAAGGTGGTGGAGTGGTGGTCAGAGGCGAATCCGGGATTCGACGGTCTCGGGTACCATAGCACTCAATATAAATTTATCACTGCCCATAATGATTGGTACAAGAGTCTATGCTGACTATATTTTGAAGACATTTGTAAGTATGTATGGAGTTTTTGCCGAAGTTTTTGGGTGTCGATGACCCCTCAACTTCAGAGGCGGGTCCAAGATTTAGAGGTTGCAGGTGCCACACTATTTTACGAACATAGACCTATTGTTATTTATATGATCAAAGTAAGGTTTTCATTTGATCGGTTTGATCCATTTTGGGTTTCGGTTCGGGTTATTCATCGTTTCGAGTTATATAGACAAACTGATCAAGCGAAAAAAATTCAATAGAAGATTGAAGGCATTGCACTGTATCCTAGACTTCAACTTTCATCCTAAATGTGTCAAGATGCAGATAATGCAACTTAGATTTGCAGATGGCCTTTTACTGTTTTGCAGAGGAGATACAGTTTCAGTCCAGCTGCTATACAAGTGTTTTCTGGATTTCTCAAGAGCATCAGGACTGAAAATTAATAAGCAGAAAAGTTCTATCTTCTTTGGTGGAGTTTCACAAGACATTCAAAAAGAAATATTGGAGTTCCTTGCAATTCAAAAAGGGGAGTTGCCAGTACGATATCTTGGAGTACCTTTAAGCTCTAAAAGAGTGTCAATAATTCAGAGCCAACCTCTAATTGACAAACTAGTGGGAAGAATAACATCCTGGACAACCAAATTATTTTCATATGCATGGAGGCTACAACTCATCAAAAGTGTCTTATTCTCCATTCAAACTTACTGGGCTCAAATATTCATGCTACCAAAGAAGATTACCAAACTGCCACGACCCGGATTTCTCGTCCGCGGGAGTTATGATGGCGCCTACTAATGTGAGCTAGGCAAGCCGATTGTTTGAACAAATTATCTTTTTACCCATTTTATATCCTTTAACAGTTATGAAGCAATAACATGTAAACAACAGAATTTACAGTAAGTGGAAGTAAAACAATAAACTATCTAAATATATATCCAATACAACTGTTTGAGCATCGACTACCCAGAACTGATGTCACAGTTTTACAGATGGTCTAAGAATACTACATGCAAAGTCTGAAAGATAAAAGGTACACTATTTCTTAAATAAGTAAATAAAACAGGATAAAGGGGTAGAAGAAGACGTCAGAGCATGCGGACGCGTGGACTGAAGGTAGCCCCAAGCTACGGTCCAAAAGTTGCGCTCCGAGATCATTATATCTCCGAATCAAAGCGCATAATGCTCACTCTCGCCATTTCTTAGCTCTTTCAGTTCTCTTCCTTTTGCCTCTCTCTTTCTCCCTCATCACCTACCCAACTCTTCAAACCACTCTCCTTCAATCCGGTTTCACCATCTTCCGACCCGAAAACACCCACCTTTCAGCTTTCCCAGATGACCCGACCCGGATTCTTATTCCCCTTGTATTCACTCTCTTTGCTGTTCTTCTTTCAGTTTTAGCTATTGCTACAATCACCTACAGCACGTTCCATTTGTTTTATGGTAGACCTGTTAAGCTAGTTTCATCAATTAAATCAGTTTTATTTTCTTTTTTGCCTATTATTTCGACCCTTTTCGTTTCAAATGCTATTGTTGGGTTTATTACTATTATTTTTGCCCTTTTTTGGTGTTTGTGGTTAAGGGGTTGGAGTTTCTTGGACTAGAAATGGGCTATGATTCATATTACTTCATGGGCTTGGTTATTTGTTTCGGTTTAGTGCTTGTATTGATCTTGATTTGGCTGCAGGTTAACTGGTCATTAGCTTATGTGATTGTTGTAGTTGAAACTAAATGGGGTTATGAACCTTTAAAAAGAAGTGGTCATTTGGTTAAGGGTATGAAATTTGTTGCTTTATTAATAGTGTTGTTTTTTGGGGTTTTAATAAGCTTATTGGTGGTTGGTTGTTCGAGTTTTTTGGT